CCCCAAAACCCCAAAACCCCAAAACCCCAAAACCCCGTAAAGTATTTATCATTGGAATTATTGAATCAAGATTAATATTCATTACATTTTATATTATTTTCTCCAATAATTTTCTGGAGAGTATCCATTTTATCAGTATTTGTTGGTTGAAAATGATTCGACCCATTTATTAAAGAAATCCACACTCTATTAAATAAATGTAATCTTAATATAAACTTACCGATGCATCGTCTATATTGATATCAGTGTCTACAGCTTTGACTCTATATTCTTTGTGATTGATACTTTCCATTAATGATTGGGAATCGTCATCAGAATACTGCATTTGACTGTATCTTTTATTCAGCCCACTGCTTGATTGATCAGCTTTTGAATCCAGACTAAGTATAGACATCTTTTAATCAGCAAATATCTTGGCATTATCAGTCTCTCTCATATTTATGCTGTCTCTCAAATTCTCTTTATTTTAAGTGATTCTTCTAGCCTGATATTACAATTGATTTTTACTCTAAATACTCATATTGTTACTTAAACTGTGAGGTTGTTGATTTTTATTTTGGTTGTTATTTGGTGGTGTATTCTGGTCAACTGCTCTTTGCAACTCGGTATCATTGAAAGAATCTCTCACCTATTCACCCAGACCAGTATCTTTGCTAATTCTTTTAACATGATCTTTAGTCTTCTTCTTTTTAGATTGCTTTGACTGTTTTTCTGGAAGCAGTTAGTTAAGCTCTTCATCATTTTTACAGTTCAAATCCCGCGAGGTAAATTTCTATTCATATATTGATTTAAGTTGACTGAGATGACTTAAAAATGGGTTTAAAGTCTAAAGACCTGCATTTCCATTTCCATTTTAGGACATTTGAACTAGACTCTGCTACAAATGATCTAATTCTCCAAATAGCTGCTGATTCATTTAGTGCAGTTAGGAGTTGACATTCTCTACTTTGTAGTATCTGCCGAGAAGCTTATCCTTCTCAGTGATGACAGTCTTCATTTCATTCTTGATTTCTTAGTATTGTGATTATGACTATTGAAGCAAATTTTAGAGGTCCTCTGTCACTGTGATCTTCAAGTTAACACTCTCCTTTAAATCATCAATCATAATGATCTTATTCTATAATTTCTGCTTTTATTTCTCAAGTTTTGCACTAAGAGCGTTTGTACTCAGCTAAGATTCTTCTAGTTTACTATTTAGTTGAGAATTCTAGACTTAGTACTCCTCCAGTTTACTTGAGGTAAGTTAGAGTTAACTCTAAAGCTATTTATTGAGCTCCATCTCCTTAGCATACTTATCATTGTTCTCAGATGCTTCCTTGTACTGGCCATTAATCTGAGTCTTAAGCTTGTTAATTTGCTTTTTAAGATTCAGCTCGGATAGTTTGAACTAATCTATTTACTTTAGATAGGTATCCACCTCGAGCTTATAAAGATTAGAGTCAACTCTGTCCTTTTGAGTTACATTGAGAACCTGATCCAACCTTTTATTCAATGAGTCCTTTTCTAGTTAGATCTAATCAAGCATGAGTCTGTAGTCCTCTATCTTTTCATTTTAAGCTTATAAGTATTGATCTTTCAAGACTATCTGCTATTATTAGTCTTGAATAACTCTCTCCAGGTCATTTGATCTCTCGAATTCAGAGGTAACTTGCTATTGTGCATCTAGTAGTCCTTCAAGATATTTAATTGTATTTTGCTATTCTTAGTTCTAACGGGATAACTACTCCAACTTAATTGCTTGTGTATTAAACTCCTCAAGCTTCTAATCGAATTATTCAAAGGAATTTTTAATCATTTCAATATGCTAGTCTTTCTGTGATATCTAATCTTAGAGAGCCTTGATTTAAGTTTCATATTACTCCTAGATAAATTTGACATCCTAAGATTTTTACTCTATAAACTCGCCCAATTAAGAATCTTTTTACAGTTCTAGTGTTTTAATTTTATCATTTAACAACCTCTTCTCTTCTTAGAGTAGCTAATTTTTCCTTAGTAATTCTTGGATATTTACATTTTCAATCGACTAGTCAGTTCTGCTTTTATAGTCATTCATTCTTTCTAGTAAGTCCATATTTTCATTATTGACTCTATCTCTTTCTCTTTTATATTCTTCTGCTTTGGATTATGAGTATCTAACGTCTTCCTAAGACTTTTAAACTTAATTTAGTAACTCCTAATTTTGATTGGTAACCAGTTCAAGTTGATCTAAAATCATATTATACTTAGTCAGCTACTCCTAGAACTAAACTTCGATCTCACTGAATTTATCCTGACTAGTCTGCTTAGATTGCAAAAATTAAAGTTATTGGCTTGCACCAAGACTAAAGTTCTTTAAGGATTATAATCTTAGAGTACTATTGGCTAATGCTTAAGGATCAAAGGAAGGTGTATTGTTCAATTCATTGAAGTTATTTGAATTGTATCTATTCTGAGTCTTTGATGCAACATGCAACTGAGATCTTTAGAGAGGATTAGCATCTGACTGTTAAGACTCATTTCTGGAAAATTATTACAGTTCATTCACATAAATATCCTAATCTTCATCATTAACTCTAGATTAGAAAGAACACATACTCTCCTCCATATCTTTCTGAGTTTTATATTGATTTTAAAAGACATTGATATTTTAGTTTTGACCCTTGTAATCTAGGGAGTTGAATTACTTTTGTCTATCAAATTCCTTTATCTAGTTGCTAAAATTACTGTCGTATTATAATGTGTTTGAAAATTCCTTTGAATTATTTTAGTTTTCAAATTAGAATTAGTTATTGCTTTAAATAGATTACTTCATTGAATTCTTTTCTCTCATCTGAGAATCGTAATATTCACTAATTTTATCAGTTTGCCTTCCTATCAGACTATTGATAGTCTTAGAAAGACTTCTAGCTGACTTCATGGCGTCACATTTATCAACAAATGTCAATTTCTTATTCTAAGATATTTGCTATTCCTCAAGATCAACTTTCTCTTTTTCTTAAAGTAAGCCTTTGATTGATTAGTAGTAGGTTTGGCATTCCATATCAGTCATTGAATCATTTTGGTGATTAATAGAGGATTTATATTTACCACCATTGCTGCTTCTACTTCTAGATTCTGATGAAAGTGTATGTGGTCTTAAATTGCTACCTTAACCCCATCTAGATTCTCTTTAATTTATGATACTTTTCTTCAGTCCCTCGTGTACTTGCATTTAAGATTTTTGTAGATCGTCTGTATCAAAAGTGTTTCTATTTAAGAAAGATGACTTGTTCGTCATATCCTCGCTCTTTTTATTCATCTAATAATTAGTGCTTTTTTGGTTTGTTATGGTCTCTCTATTCGCTCCAAGTGTTCCTCCATAAATTTGCTTTTCAGACTTCTTAGATTCCTTTAAATCTTCATCAAGGTCTGATTCATTTCCAAATATTTCCTTGTACATTCTATGTCTGCTGTTCCTTTTCTTACTTTCAAGCATCTCATTCTAAGATTACTTCATTGAGGTTCCTCCTGGATTCATAATGGACTGCATGAATTAGTTGACTGTGTCATCTTTATTTGTATTATTTTTAAAGAAACTCATCCCCAAAGGAGCCATTTTAGTATCAGAAGCTTGAACTTAGGGCGAGGTAAGGGAAAAGTTATTTGCATTAAATTATGAAGCTAAAATATGATTATATGGCTTTTGTTAAAATATACCTTTAAGAGCCGAAGACTGATTTGAAAAGATTTCTTGTTCAAAGATCTCTTTGAGTGACTTAGGTTTGTTGTTGAAAGCCATTTTATTTAAATTTGAAATTTCAAAATTACTTACCTCTTTGAATAAGTAAATAATTCCATAAGGGGTTTTGGGGTTTTGGGGTTTTGGGG